TTGTTTAACTTAAGCACCTCATTTAAAGTTTTCAAAATGACCTAAGTGTTCAGTTGTCAAGTACAAAAGGAGGAATTTGAATTCCCCTTCATTTTCTTCCCGTTTCTCTTTCTTTTCTCTAACTTCCTCTTTTAGCTCTCAAGAAGAATGTTCCTCACAAACTTTCTCCCTCCTTCTCTATTTAGGCACTAATTAGCTTAGCCACTAATTGTTTCCTTAGCTTAAGTGGTCAAGTTTAACTCAGACTAACCTTGCTTAGCCTTTAAGAAAGTGAATTTTTTGAGTAACGATATTAGTTTAAAACTTAATCAACTTCGTTTAGTGGTTTTTTTTTTTTTTTTTTTTTTTAGGGGGGTACTTTTAAGGTATTCTAAATCGCCTAAGTGTTCAATTCCCAAGTCCAAAATGATGAATTTGAATTCTCTTTGATTTCCTTCCTATTACTCTTTCTTTTATCTAACTTTCTATTCTACCTCTCACGAAGAATGTTTCTCTCTAACTTTCTCCATCCTTCTCTATTTTGTTCCAGGCCACTACTGATATTAGATCAACTTAAGCACCTCATTTAAGGTTTTGTAATTCACTTAGGTGTTCAATTCACAAATCCAAAATGATGAGCTCGAATTCTCATTGCTTTCTTTCCTATTACTGTTTCTTTTCTCTAATTTTCTCTTCTACCTCTCAAGACAAATGTTTCTCTCTACCTTTCTCTGTCGTTCTCCATCAACTGTTTTGTTCATTGAACCAATTGGTTTAGGCCGCTAATTGTTTCAGTTGCTTATGTGGACAAGTTTAATTCAAACTGACCTTGCATAACCTCCAAGAAATAGAAGTTTCTGAGTAATTGTAGCATAAGGATATTAGTTAAACTTAAGTACCTCATTTAAGGTTTTCTAAATCAACTAAATGTTCAATTCTTAAGTCCAAAGGGATGAATTTGAATTCCCTTTGATTTTCTTTCCTATTATTTTTTCTTTCCTCTAACTTTCTCTTCTACCTCTGATGAAGAATGTTTCTCTCTACCTTTCTCAGTGCTTCTCCACCATTCTCTGTTTTGTTCTAGGAACAAAATTGCCTAGACTGCTAATTGTTTCATTTGCTTAAGCGGCCAAGTTTTTTTTTTTGGGTGGGTAAGTCATAAATTAAATACAAAAAACTTACACGTTTACAAGGGGCATACCCCAGGTAATACAATGAAATCACAAACCCAACAAAAGGGGAAAAGTAATAAAAAATAAAAAAAAAAACTAATTAAAAAACACACACCCGTAACAGTCGGGTCCCCAATAAAACAATAATAAACAAAAATTGTCCATATATCATTTTTATCTCCAAGTACCCTCTACCATCCAAAAACAATAGATGGGTACTGGGAGAAGATATATGGACAATTGTAAAGGAGTGGATGAAAACCCACCAAAACAAATTAACAAACCAAAGACAAGTGGGGCCAACAAGATAGGCCACGGCTAAAAACATCTAGGCCCCACATCCCACTCTAAACAAACAAAGCAAACAAGCCCCCAAGAAACGTGGCTAAAGCAACCACAAAACAACCCCACAACAAACCATTTGCTGGTTTGTATTAAATCGTGGGCATACCACCCACGTGTATACACTTCCCCATGTTCCAACCATCAGCTAGCTAGCATAGGCTGGGAGCAGACCCACGTGTCACACCAACCAATTCAGGTTGTCCAGTATAGACCCACACGCCATGCAGAGCGTGTACCACACATCAAATATGAATCTCCCATCTGCCATACGCTGGTGACAGAAAACCTCAATGGCACCGGAGTATGGAGACAGCGTCAACGGCAGCAAAAGAAAACCAGAAAACCAGCACATGCCGGAATAGCTCTGCAAACACCATCACTGTCGCCCAACAACGGGCATAACTCCAAAAACTCAAGAAAACACAAGCACTGGAGAAGCCAAGCCAGCCAACCTTGCGCTGGAACAAGCGGCCAAGTTTAATTCAAACTAACCTTGCTTTTTTTTGGGTGAATAAGACATAAATAAAAAAACAGAGATTACACAGCTACAAGGGGCATACCCCAGGACCTAACGAAAACTATACAAGAACAAATGAAAGAAGCCAAAACACTCAACCAGCAAACAAAACCAAAAAAAAAAACAGGACAAGAATAACTATCAAGACTCAAAAAATGGAGAAAGGAAAGCATAACATGGGAAAATTATAAACCCCCAAAAATATGTTCATGAGCCGCATAAATTCGAATGAGGACCATGAACACATCCAAACAACGACCCAAATCTGTAACAAACCAGCCCACAAAACAGCTAAAACCAGCAGAAAACACAAAACTAGAAACCATGTACATCCCACACGGCTAGGCCAAAAGGAATGACAACCCAGCAAAACATTCATAGTCCATACACAGTACATTAAGATAAAAATAAAAGAAAGACAAGTATCTACAAAGGCGCTACAAGCAGCCATCACCAAGTGCCAGTTGTAACGCCCTCAAATAATAAGATTAAACCCATCAGATAAGACAAGCATTTACATATAAACTAACCACATTCCTTTATTTCATTGAGTTTCATTACATAAGTATTACATGTTAACATCAAAACAAAATGCCCTACGATCTACAAAGGCGCTACAAGCAGCCATCACCAAGTGCCAGTAAACTCGAACACCCAAACTGTCCAACATCTTAGTGCCATCAAACCCACAACAATCCATACAGCCCCAATATAGCTTAAATATTGTAGTAAACCCACAGCAACCCAATCTGCCCAGCATAGGAGTATCATCACAGCCACAGCCATCAGACGAATAGCATATATCCCTATCCAGAAAGCCACCGTAGTGCTTAAACATTGTAATAAACCCTGTAGAAACAGTCAAAAATGAGTACGTCTAGTGATAACAAGGACAGAACATAGCAGCAGTACACTCAATGTAGGAACTCTCATCACTCGGCCCACAGTTTAGGGGCTCACACCACTCAAAATTAGCATCCTTAACCTGCACATAAAAATTTACAGTATATATAGGCATTAGAAAAAATTTTATGGCTAACATCACTCGACCCACATGTAATTGGAGAACATGTAAAGTAACTCTCATCACTCGAACCTCAAGGATAGATAGCTCCACTTGAACCACCCGAATACACCTGCAAAAGAAAAAACTTAAATACATAAAGCCCTCATTTAAGCTCACCATCTCTCGACCCACATTTAGTGAACTCACATCACTCCGCAGCCCTCCCATTTCTGATGCTATGGGGCTTCAAAATTGTCTCCGGCAAATTCCATTGATCAAGAAACCATCTGTCACCAGTGGATCTAGGAATATTCTTAATTGACAACATTCTATTTCTAACCATTTGGATAACAGATTTAATGACCACCTCTTCAGGTTTTAGTTCTTTGTTAAAAATTTTGTTATTTCTTTTTTTTTTTGTTGAATAAAATTTTGTTATTTCTTTCAATCCAGATCAAGTAAACAGAGCATGAGAATGCATTACTAATGATGTTGACCCTCAAAGAGTTACCTTTAGTCTCCTTAGAAGCAAAAGTAACACTATCAGGCCAACCAAGAACAGGCCACTTAATGTTACAAGCAGCTTCAATGGCACTCCAGACTCTACTAGAGAAGATGCACTCAAAGAATAGATGAGAATGGCTTTCCTCCAGGTTGAGGCAAAAAGGGCATTGAGAGCTGGTGGACAAGCCAAACATACGGAGTCTATCACCAGTGTAAAGTCTATTGTGAAGAGCCACCCAAACAATGAAGCTGACTTTAGGGATTCTGCGAGGGCCCCACACATGCTTATGCCAAACCACTTTATCGAATTTCTTTCTCTAATGATTCCAAGCTGATTGAATGGAAAACTTACCATCAGTAGTACGATTCCAAAAAGCTTGATCAGTGTTGGAAGGATTGGGATGAAAACACATAGGAGTAGAAGAGATTAACTCCTAAATTTCCCAAGAGTTGGGAGTAGGCCACTTCCAAGAAGACCCATCAATGATTTTACTGACTTTTGTTTCACTGTTAAGGGCAGAATCATAAATAATTCTATCCCCGAATTTGTTCCACAGTGGACCAATAGGGTTGTAGGGCGTACCTGGGGTATGCCCCTTGTAAACTTGTACATTTTACTGTCTTTATTTTATGACTTACTTACCCAAAAAAAAAAAATAATTTTCTCCACACCCAAGAAGGATCATTAGGAACCTTAACTTTCCAGAAACTCTTCCCCTTTAATAAGTAGGATTTGACCCACTGACACCACATCGATCCCTCACCCCCAAAAAACAAAAACCAAATGTGTTTAGCTATGGCCACTTTATTCCAAATATCTAAAGATTTAAAGCCCAAACCTCCCTCATTTTTAGGAGCACACACAGAATCCCAAGCAATTTTGGCACTATGAGTTTTAAGATCAGTACCAGACCAAAGGAAGGCTTTAAGAATACTATCAATCTCCCTAATGACCTTCTTGGGAAGAATGAAAAGCGAGGACCAGTACACTTGCATAGAAAAGAGAATGGATTGAATGAGCTGGCTTCTACCAGCGTAAGACAAAGCTTTATTGGTCCAACTCTTCACTTTTTTGGTGATCCTATCAATGAGAGGACCACAATCAGCAGCCCTCAACTTAGTGGTAATTAAGGGGACACCAAGATACCTAACAGGTAGAGTCCCTTCATTAAACTTTGCAATCTCAAGAATAGAAGCTCTCAACTCCATATCACAACCAGAAAAGTAGATGTTACTTTTGCTGGGATTAGGAATTAGGCCAGACAGGGATGAAAACTCCTTAAGGCCTTCCATAATGAGCTTCACAGTAGAGGCATCACCTCTGCTAAAGATCATGAGATCATCAGCGAAGCAAAGATTGATGATTTTAGTCTTATCGCACTTCCAATGGAACTTAAAGAGAGGATGCTTTGCTTTCTTCGCCAAGATTTTGGCCAGGATTTCCATGGCCAAAACGAATAAGTAAGGGGACATAGGGTCAACCTTGTCTTAAACCTCTAGCCCCTTTAAAATAGCCATGAAGGCTACCATTGATACAAATTGAAAAGGAAGGGCTAGTGATGCAGCAAGAAACCATGACAGGAGGAAAGGCCATAGCCTTGAGAATATCAAGAATAAAATCCCATCTCACACTATCGTAAGCTTTCATGATATCCACCTTGATAGCACACGTCGGAGTAGGGGAATGCCTATGGTACCCCCTCATAAGCTCTTGAGATAGGAAGATATTGTCAGAAATTCTCCGACCTTGAACAAAAGCTGACTGGACAGGGTCAATAAGATCAGGGAGAACAGATTTAATCCTGTTAGCTATGATCTTGGCAATGCACTTATAGATGGTGTTGCAACTAGAAATAGGCCTGAAGTCACCCACTTTTGCAGGGTTGGGGACTTTGGGAATGAGAGCAATGATGGTGCTATTAACTTCAGACAGAAGCTTACCAGACTCAAAGAAAGTTCTAATGGCTTGGATAACATCTCTCCCGACAATAGCCCAGGATGTCTTAAAAAAACCCGCAGAGAAGCCGTCAGGGCCGGGAGCCTTATTGGCCTTAAGAGACCAAAGGTATCCTTGATCTCTTGGTCAGTCACAGGGCTAGCAAGCACAAGAGATTGATCAGGAGAAATACGGGTCTTAACCGGGGACTGAATTCTAGCAAAACCATGATACTGGTCATCAAACGGGGTACCAAATAAACCTGAGAAAAAATTGGTGAACGCATTCTGGATGTCCTCTGGTTTAGAAGACTTTTGGCCATCCATCAACTCCAGATTCAAAATTTTACCCCTATTGATATTACCCTTAATGGTTTTGAAGAAGAAGCTGCTATTTCTATCCCCCTGACTAAGCCACAAGACACAAGATTTCTGGAGAGCCAAACTCTCTTCAACAGCCAGGAGGTCAACATGCTGCTTGTAGATATTGCGCTCAAGTTTCTGCAACTCACTATTACTCGGATCCTTATCCAACTTACATTGAGCAGAGAAGAGCTCATATTTAGAGGTTTGGACTCTAGTAGTTATGTCACTAAAGTCTTTCTTGTTCAAAGCCTTTAGTTCAGGCTTCAAATATTTCAATTTTTGGCACACCCTGTACATAGGAACACCATAAATACACTGATTCCAAACTCTAGAAACCACAGAATTGAAGTCCTTATGGTCGGCCCAAAAGTCAAAATATTTAAAAGGTTTCTTAAAAGAAGATTTCTTGTCAGAAACATTAACCACAGCAGGAGAGTGGTCAGATATACCAGAGGGTAAAAAGGTGGCAAAAGAGGCAGGAAAGGTATCAAGCCAAGCCTCATTAACCAGCACTGTATCAATTTTGGTTGCGATGTAATCCCTACTAGTTCTCTTATTGGCCCAGGTAAATTGGCAACCCCCGTAAGAGAGATCAACCAACTCAGATTTCAGAATATATGAGTTAAACTCCTCTTTGACCTTAGACCAGCTAACAGAGCCCCCAGATTTCTCATACGGTATCTTATAGCATTGAAGTCCCCCAGAAACATAATAGGAGTTTTGGACTGCAAATGGGAATTAGTAGCCATATACTCAAAAAACTCTTTTTGAATGTCAGGTTTATTATCAGCATAAACAAAACATATTTTGAACATGTTATCAGAAGAAAAGTCATGAACTCCACAAAAAATATATTGATCAGAAGCTGATAACAAAGTAACCTTACAAAAAGCTGGGTCCCAGCAGACACAGATCCTCCCAGTTTTAGTAGGTTGTGAGTTTGTCAAAAAGGGCCAATTGTTTACACCAGAAAAAATCTGCTGTTCATTTAAAGCTTTTATTTTCGTTTCCAAAATGCCCAAGATTTTAATGTCTTCATTTAACAAAAATTTATGAACTTCCTTCTGTCGATGAGGATTATTAAATCTTCTAACATTCCAAGACGCAATTTTTAAAGACATTGGAAATAACAAAATTCGAAACCCACAACCAGATAAACTGGGATTTACCTGCGTTTCTTCCTCTGGCTTTTGTTTCCTTTGCCAGAGGAGCTTCCTTTTGCCTTAGTGCCAATTTGAGCCTGCTTAGTGGCCGAACTACCAGGGGTGGTTTCCACTAGTTTTTCCACTTTAGCCCGCAATTCTTCATCATTGGGAAGAACCAAACTGGTAATTTCCAGCAGACTGTTCTGCAAAGCCTTCAAGCTATCCATTTTTTGAACCTCAATCTCCCCCTCAGATGGGGTAGACACTACTGATAGTACTGGGATGGTTTTGTGAACCTCGATTTCCCCCTCAATCTCCACAGGCTCCTCCTGAATGTGCTCTTGCTGTATACTCTGCCTTACATCAGGTTCCGGTAGGCCATCCTCCTTTGAAGTTGCATGATTATCTGTCTCGGGGACATCAACCTTCCTCTTACCCTTGGCTTTGACAGTTTCCCATCCCGGATCTGGGTTGTCTTCTGTTCGTTTCTGGAGGTTTAACAGGGCAGCCACTTGGGTCTTAGCACATTTGGTAGTGTCATGCCCAAACACTACACAGTGGTCACACTTAGGGGGTAAACCCTAATATTCGACCTTCACTACAGCTTCTGCATCTTCACAATTCACTTTGAACATCGATGGAAGAATGGATGTAGCTTCAACCTCCACACAGACCCTGGCAAAAGACACTCTACTACCCTGTTCAGTAAGTTGGTCCATAAACAAAGGAGTCCTACAGCACTTGCAATCCGGCTCAGCCCATCACTATCCCAATACTCAAAAGGCACATTGAAAAACTTAGCCCATACTGGAACTGTAGTAGCTTTTTCCTTCGAAAGCTTCATCATCCGAGTCCATTTTTTCAGAAAAAGGTTTGAACCACCTATGTACCATGGCCCTCCTTCAAGGACTGCACTACAACATTCAGGGCTTTCAAAAATGAAGAAGCTAAAGCCTTCTCCATTTGCTAGAACTTCCTTCAAACCCTTATTTTTCCATAAAGAAAAAGCACTGTTTTTCAAGTAATTATAAGACACCCCTTTGTCCAGGAAGTACCCAACCAGACATGAATCCCATTTCTCTAAGGGGTTGGGCCTAGGGGGGAGACTCACACTAACATAGCCAACACTACGAATAGGGGGAACATACCTCAAAGGAATATTAGATCTCGATGAGGATGCAGCCACATCAGCCCAGGATTTCATATGGCCTTGACCTCTGCCTCCCCCTAACCCTCTACCTCCTCTACCTCCTCTGAAATTTGAAAGCCCACCCCTTCGGGAAGCCATATCCTCACGACCAACATCACCTAGGTTAGGCGTCTGCAAAGGATCTCTTCAATACCTTGAACCACCTCGACTGAGACTGTATTCTCTTCCTTCCCTATTTCTATAGGTCGATCTAGTAGATTATCATCATGATTCTTACCATCAAACCTGTTTCGAGCAACCAGGACACTATTAGGTAGGTTTTGAAACAAAGGGGTTTCAAAATCCGTACGCTCTGACCATCGCGCTGAATATAATGAACCATCGGTAGATGGCGAGGTCATTATCGATGAAGATGGGTCTCTCATTCTCACTATACGATCTGCCACTTGCTGAAAATCTGAGGGTTTTACAACCCTTCGTTCTTCCTGATTCAAGGATTTCTCCACAACCTCGATGTCGTTAGAATGCCCAAGATTCAAAACACCCTCATCTATGTGATCTGTAGACAGATCCATGGACGCTGCACTCAAAATCCCAAATCTATTGCTTACAAAACCTCGTGTATCACTCTCTATACCCACCGTAGGAACGTTCCTATCCTTATCCTTTACCCGTAAATCCAAGAGACTCTCAGTATTAAGCAACGCATTAACTCCTGTCATCTTAATCAATGAGGAATTGAAACCCTAGAAACACAGGTTTCTAGAGAGATGCGGGAGCTTCTCACTCTAACCCATTTTAACTAACCTTGCTTAGCCTCTAAGAAAGAAAATTTTATGAGTCATTGCAGCTTAAGGAAATTAGTTCAACTTAAGCACCTCATTTAAGGTATCTAAATCACCTAAGCGTTCAATTTTTGGGGGTGAATATAAGCATTCAATTCTCAAATCCAAAATGTTGAACTTGAATTCCTTTTGATTTTCTTCCTATTTCTCTTTCTTTTTTTTCAATCTTTCTCTTCTAGATCTCAAGAAGGAATGTTCCTTTCTGACTTTCTCCGTCTTTCTCCTTCCTTCTCTATTCTGTTCTAGGAACTAAATAGCTTAGGCCGTTAATTGTTTCATTAGCTTAAGTGGCCAAGTTTAACTCAAACTAACCTTGCTTAGCCTCTAAGAAAGAGAATTTTCTATGTAATTATAGCATAACGATATTAGTTTAACTGAAGTACCTCATCTAAGTTTTTCTAAATCAGCAAAGTGTTCAATTCTCAAGTCCAAAAGGATGAATTTGAATTCCCTGTGATTTTCATCCCAATTTTCTTTCGTTTCTCTAACTTTCTCTTCTCTTTTTCTTTTGTTTTTTTTTTTTTGGGGGGGGGGGGAATAAACCTAGCTAAAATGCAAGGATTCTTGCTCATGATAGTTTTAATACTTCTTTTACTTTAATTTTCTCTTAACAGAGCAGAATGATGAAAAAATCTGTATGTAACCAACTCCACTTGACGAAGACACGAAGTTTAATTTGGTTTCACTTCAATTTTGTTGCCTAAGCTAGCTGGTTCCAAAGCACAAATGGGCAACATGTTTCATCACATTTCCATACAAGCCCTATAGAGTTAGGTGCAAAATCACAAATTTGACAAAGCAACTCTAATGGGCTTCCTATCTTTTCTTGAAATTAACTATTCACAACACAAAAAGAAAGAAATGGGTGGTAGATTTTGCACTGAGGTACAGAGATATGCTTGTGCAGAAAGTGACTTCCTTTAATAGGAATGACTTGCATTTTCCACTCTCCCAAGCAAAGCTCCATGTATTTGGCTTAGTCTTCATTGGACGATGTGGTTGCCATGACCATGTGATCTCACAAGTAGATTCCAACTCTTTGCTCCAACTTTCTCATCTAGCTTTCAAGAAGAAAGCTTCTATCTAACTTTCTCCGTCCCTCTCTGTCCTTCTCTACATTGTTCTGGGAACTAATTAACTTAGGCCACTAATTGTTTCATTAGTTGAAGTTGCCTAGTTTAACTCAAATGAACCTTGCTTAGCCTTTTAGAGATAGAATTTCCTGAGTAATATTACTTTAATGATATTTGTTTAGCTTAATCACCTCATTTAAGGTTTTCTAAATCACCTAAGTGTTCAGTTCTCAAGTCCGAAAAGATGAATGTGAATTCCCTTTGATTTTCTTCGTATTTCTTTTCCTATTCTCGAACTTTCTCTTCCAGCACTCAAGAAGAATGTTTCTCTATAACTTTCTCCGTCCTTGCTTTACCTTTTTTGTTCTGAGAACTAATTAGCTTAGGCCACTAATTGTTTCATTTGCACAAGTGGCCAAGTTTAACTGAAACTAGCTTTGCTTCGCCTCTATGAAAGAGAATTTTCAGAGTAATTGTTGCATAATGATATTAGTTTAACGCAAGCACCTCATTTAAGGTTTTCTAAATCACCCGAGTGTTCAATTCTCAACTCCAAAATGGTGAATTTGAATGCCCTATGATTTTCTTCCTATTTCTCTTTCTTTTCTCTAACTTTCTCTTCTCGCTCTCAAGAAGAATGTTTCTGTCTAACTTTCTCCGTCCTACTCTATTTTGTTCTGGGAACTAATTTCCTTAGGCCACCAATTGTTTTCATTAGCTTTAGTTGCCTAGTTTAACTCAAATTAACCTTACTTAGCCTCTAAGAAATAGAATTTTCTAAGTAATATTAGTTTAACGATATTAGTTTTGCTTAATCATCTCATTTAAGGTTTTCTAAATGACATAAGTGTTCAATTCTCAAATCCAAAAAGATGTATTTTAATTCCCTTTGATTTTCTTCATACTTCTCTTTCTATTCTCTAACTTTCTCTTCTAGCTCTCAAGAAGAATGTTTCTCTCAAACCTTCCCTGTCCTTCTCCATCCTTCTGTATTTTGTTCTAGGAACTAATTTGCTTAGGCCACCAATGGTTTCATTAGCTTGAGTAGTGGCCAAGTTTAACTCAAACTAACCTTGCCTCCTCCAACAAGTAGAGTTTTCTGTGTAATTGTATCTTACCGACATTAGTTTAACGTAAGCACCTCATTTAAGGTTTCCATGTCATATAAGTGTTCAATTCTCAAGTCTAAAAGGTTGAATTTGAATTCTCTTTGATTTTCTTCCTATTTCTCTTTCCTTTGTATGACTTCCTCTTCTACCTCTCAAGAAGAATGTTTCTCTGTAACTTTCTCCGTCCTTCTCTATTTTGTTCGAGAACTAATTAGCTTAGGCCCCTAATTGCTTCGTTGGCTTAAGTGGGCAAGTTTAACTCAAACTAACGTTGCTTAGCCTCTAACAAAAGAAATTCTGAGTAATTGTAGCTTAACGCTAGTTGTTTAACTTAAACACGTCATTCAAGGTTTTCAAAATGACCTAAGTGTTCAGTTGTCAAGTACAAAAGGATGAATTTGAATTCCCCTTCATTTTCTTCCCGTTTCTCTTTCTTTTCTCTAACTTCCTCTTTTAACTCTCAAGAAGAATGTTCCTCACAAACTTTCTCCCTCCTTCTCTATTTAGGCACTAATTAGCTTAGCCACTAATTGTTTCCTTAGCCTAAGTGGTCAGGTTTAACTCAGACAAACCTTGCTTAGCCTCTAAGAAAGAGAATTTTTTGAGTAACGATATTAGTTTAAAAGTTAATCAACTCGTTTAGTGGTTTTTTTTTTTTAGGAGGGTACTTTTAAGGTATTGTAAATCGCCTAAGTGTTCAATTCCCAAGTCCAAAATGATGAATTTTAATTCTCTTTGATTTCCTTCCTATTACTCTTTCTTTTATCTAACTTTCTTTTCTACCTCTCACGAAGAATGTTTCTCTCCAACTTTCCCCATCCTTCTCTATTTTGTTCCAGAAGCTAATTAGCTTAGGCCACTAATTGTTTTATTAGCTTAAGCAACCAAGTTTAACTCAAACTAACCTCGCTTAGACTCTAAAAAAGAGAATTTTCTGAGTAATTGTAGCTTAATGATATTAGATCAACTTAAGCACCTCATTTAAGGTTTTCTAATTCACTTAGGTGTTCAATTCACAAGTCCAAAATGATGAGCTCGAATTCTCATTGCTTTCTTTCCTATTACTGTTTCTTTTCCCTAACTTTCTCTTCTACCTCTCAAGACGAATGTTTCTCTCTACCTTTCTCTGTGCTTCTCCATCAACTGTTTTGTTCAATGAACCAATCGGTTTAGGCCGCTAATTGTTTCAGTTGCTTATGTGGACAAGTTTAATTCAAACTGACCTTGCATAGCCTCCAAGAAATAGAAGTTTTTGAGTAATTGTAGCATAAGGATATTAGTTAAACTTAAGTACCTCATTTAAAGTTTTCTAAATCAACTAAGTGTTCAATTCTTAAGTCCAAAGGGCTGAATTTGAATTCCCTTTGATTTTCTTTCTTATTATTTTTTCTTTCCTCTAACTTTCTCTTCTACCTCTGATGAAGAATGTTTCTCTCTACCTTTCTCAGTCCTTCTCCACCATCCTCTGTTTTGTTCTAGGAACAAAATTGCCTAGACCGCTAATTGTTTCATTTGCTTAAGCGGCCAAGTTTAATTCAAACTAACCTTGCTTAGACTCTAAGAAAGAGAATTTTATGAGTCATCGCAGCTTAAGGAAATTAGTTCAACTTAAGTACCTCATTTAAGGTATCTAAATCACCTAAGCGTTCAATTTTTTTGGGTGAATATAAGCATTCAATTCTCAATTCCAAAATGTTGAATTTGAATTCCTTTTGATTTTCTTCCTATTTCTCTTTTTTTTTTTTTTCAATCTTTCTCTTCTAGATCTCAAGAAGGCGCACAAGGCAGGGGAAGAAAGCAGAGCCTCTCTCTCTAGAATCTAGAGAGAGAAAGCTCCCCTCGGTGGTGGTGTTCTGGTGCTTTTCCGGCCAGTTATTTTAGCTGCTATACTCAATCTGAGTGTTAGTGAGCATGGGTCCCATTTTATGGTAGCTTCGGTGTAGAGGTGGAGTGGTTTGTGCCCTTCATCTTTTGTATCAATGAGTTGTTTCATGGAAGTATCAGTGTTTCCAGTCCGACTTTTTGACGGCTGGTTTTGGAGAGCTACCTAAAGCCTGGATATTAAGCTCGGGTGACCAGGCTTGATGTCGACGGTGGTTATGTGGTGCTGG